TATGGAGGACTGACCATGGAGTTGACCTTGGAGGTGGCCCCGGCTGAGGTACTCGTAGACCAGGAGGCGCTGGTCGCCTTCGGCGCAGTAGCCGACGAGGGAGACGACGTTCGGGTGGTCAACGCGGCTGAGAACGTCGACCTCCACCCGGAACTCCCGCTCCTTTTCGGCCTCTCTCAGCGGCGGCGCCGCCTCCATCCTCTTGATCGCCACCACCTGCGTGCCGACCATGGGAGAGTGCATCGTCAGTTTCCCCCGTGAAGAATCCGCCCACTTCGATCGGTCGGTCGATCGATTGTTCCATTTCGATCTCAAATGCTGAATAAGGATGTTGATCTTGCAGAGCAGGCCGACCTGTCCGCTGCTTAGGGTTCCTCTGTAGACGCGGCCAAAGCCTCCTCGGCCGAGGGAGTTGCCATCGGCGAAGGAGCAGGTCGCCGCCTCCATTTCCCGGAGGGTGAACACCGACGCGCCGCCGCCGCCGCCGCCGCCGCCGCTGCGCCTCTTCGGGCGGAGAACCTCCTCTCCAAGCTGCCAGCACTGGGCGGGCCTGTAGATCCCTGCCGATGGGATTCCCGAGGGAGAAGAAGATCAGGGACGCTGTTGGAAAGGGAAACCCTAGAAATGGACGAGCAGAGAGGGGACGGAAGAGCGAGCTTACAGGGGTCGATCTGGTCGTAAGACAGGCTCCTCCGGCGCTTGTTCCAGGCGGAGACCAATCCGAAAGGCATGCCGGGCGCTCACTGAAGCATCAGATCTCGGAGGAGGAGCTCGATCAGAAAGAGGGGCGGATTTGAGGAGGGTAGATGATCAGGTTGAAGAACAGCGGGATGGAGGAAGAAGAAGATCCCCGGAGGTAAACCAGTCGATCGATCGGCAGGAAGGAATCAGAAAGTGAAGGAGAGGAGGATCGGGAGAAGAGAAGAAGTGGAGAGGAGGCCGTGGAGGGGAAGTGAAGTGAAGGCCGAGCGAGAGGTGGAGGAGGCATGAAGTAAGGAATGCTTTGGAAGGAAGGAAGAGATGTCAGAGACACCAAGTGCCGCTGGAGCTGAGAGGAAGGGGAAGAGGGAGACGTCGGAGAGAAGCTTTCCCAGAAGAAAAAGCGTGTCAAAACCCTAGAAATCGCCCGGCCGATTGACGTTTCACCGGGGGCGGCGCCGAGATCTGGAGCTGTGAGGAATCCGGCGGCCGGCGGGGGAGAGCGAACCAACCTTCCATTGTAAGTGGGGAAGGCGGAGACGTCGGAGAGAAGCTTCCCCTGAAGAGTCTGGAAACCCTAAAAGGGGCGATGGGTTGTTCACCGGCGGTGGCAGGCGACTGGGAAGGCCACCCTTGCGGTGCCTCCGCTGACATCTGTCTAACGGAGCTGCGGAAGGTGTTGCCGGCGCCGGCGAGGGAGGCCGGTAGCCGGTTTTTGGCGCGAAACCATGATTTTATTTTATTTTTTTCGAATCGAATTACCTAATGGATTACTCCAAGAAAAACCCTAAAAGTATTTTTTTTGGCAAATTGGACATTCTCAACTTTGGATCCGCGTGGCTTGCCACCTCGGCGACGACTCTTCCACCCCTCTCATGCAAAGGGGAGGCCTCTACGTCCAAACGGGGACTGAATTGGAGAGAGAGAGAGAGAGAGAGAGAGAGTTGTGAAGACTACTAAGGCTTGGGACTGGCTTCTTCTTCCCATGATTTATGAGCAATTTCATTTTATGCATTCAAAATGATGATTAAATTCGTAAAATAATTAAAATAATGCAAATAATTATTTACCCATAATTTCCCATCAAACGCACACACACAACCGTCCTTATTCTTGTATAAAATCGTGGGTGACAAGTGCTTCCAAATTATCCTCTTGGGTCATCATTAATAGGCTAAAAACCATTAAAATGACACTATTTTCCTCTTTTGATCTCCAATCAATGAAAAAATCATCTTTCTATTACGTAAAAAAGCAATCTAAAATAATTAGCCAATTAAAATCTGAAGAGTGAGAAAATTTCCAAAGGCATATAATTATTTTAATCGTTAAAAGAGGCTGAAAAATGAAGTCCACTACTAGCTTTTGGGGGGTTCCTTTAATCTTACGAATGATAATGGCCTAATATAGTATCTAAAAGTATCAACGTTCGCTAATACAGTTTAGATCATAAGTAATTTGTATAACAAATTATGAGAATGGCCAACTTCATATTGCGATAGGAAGTAAATAGAAACTTGAAGGAATCATTGGTGTGGAACCATCCAAGACCTCACTAAAGTGTCCTCATAATTCTAATAATAATATCATTCAACTGACACTATTTTCCTTTTTGATCTCCAATTAATGAAAAATATATCTTTATATTACATCAAAAAGAGCCTACAGAGAAGCAATTTGAACCAATTATCAAGGTAACGGACAGCTTGTATAGTGATAATAGACTCGTCTTCCATGGTGTGAGAAAATTTGATTTAGAACTTATAATTATTTTGATCCCTAAAAAAATAATACGATTTAGAGCGTAAGTAATTTATATAACAAATTCCTGATAATGCCCAACTTCATACTATAAGTGGAAGTAAATAAAAACTTGAAGGAATGATTGGCATGGAACCCAACCAAAACTTCATTGGTCCACACATTTAGATCAAAAATACCCACCACAAAATCTAAATTATCATGTGAATAGATGAGCTTCAACGGTGGGATTTTAAATGATCCAACCTGAAAGTCTATCAGGATCAGAGCTATGAACAATGGAACAGGACGGCTGTCAGGTTGCTTGAACTCACTCGTTTGGCTGAATCATAATACTCATGGATTCATTTGATCGATGCATCCATTCATTTTTAAGAAAAAAATCATCGGCAAAGTCATACAAGGTTAGCAAATGAAGAAATACCAAAAGAACGAATTGAATAATGGCCATTTTGCTACCTGATTAAATAAATACTAATCTGATTTATCTTTGCTAAAATGATTTATTTATTATATGGTTCTGAGATCCTCAATCAAAAGGAAAACGAATGAAAACTGCTCATTGTTACAACATAACTTATTCATACAACTCTGGCGTCCCATCAAAAGGAAAAGAATTGAATATTGCTAGAACAAAATTCTAACCTTCAGACATTAATCTCATTCATCTTCACTACAGCATGGTTTATTTATACAATTCTTGCATCGAATCAAAATCTAGAGGCTACCCGCCCCATTATAGTGAGATCCAAAACGATGAGATCTCCATGTTAGGAATCCTAGTATGACCACCCCCAACCAGCCCAGCTGACTTAAGTATAAAAAGAATAGCCATGATATTAGATGTCTAAGAGTGAGGATTCAAGAGCGAGGTCTGATAATCTGAGGTTTATCTGTCGTAGTTCTCACCACCTGAACCCAAAGTATGCGACTCCAATGGAGGAGGGAAATCCCCATCTTTAGGCTTGTAGCTCTTGTGAATCGTTCATCTGGAAGAATAATGCGTGTCAGAAGCATTGTTGATGAAACGGAAAGATCACATATTCTTGACTAGATTTGAAGATATTGGAGGACCTTCCTTTGTTGGTGTTTTTCCCCCCAAAGAAAACACATTAGCTGAAATAATTCCACAATAGTCTGCAGGCATATTATTAATCATGCATGAATGCTCATTTGTTTCTCGATAGAGGAAAGACTATTTCCGTTTTTACAGGTACTTAGCCACATTTAACCTCAATCAATTCATGAATTAGGATTGACGGATATATCTTGGAGTTATGTGCATTCACTGTTTCACACAAGTCAGAGTTAATATGTGCGAACAAAGTTTCTGCAATGATTCAATTCACACCAAACGAACACAGGCCTTACTGAACGAGGACTCCAAGGCTGAGCGAAGAACCCTTTGGATTTTTTTGGCAATTCACACCAAACGAAGTTTCCACAAGAAATATAGTATCCAGCGCATTATGCTACAGAAATGAAGTGCCCACATGCTCAAAAGATGATTTCAGTTTCATGGATGGGGCTAAAGCTCAAAAGATGATGGAACCAAAGGAGTGCAACCCAAAATTTGATTATTTTTTTGTTAGGCCGAGAATAGATTTCAAGATAAAATTTTATCAGTAAGTAATGAGAAATCTTGATCTGTCTCATCATCTCTATCATTTCAGAGACAGGATTCAACTGACATTGTTCCATCCTTTTCCTCTACAGTATAATATGGATAATATCAGAAATAAGAAAGTTCGCGTACAAACATGCGTTATTGAGGTGTCAAAACATAGGAAAACAGAATAAAAAACATATGATGTCAGATGTAGGTAAACAAATCAATTGATGACCTTTTTTTCTGCAGATAGAATTAATTGAATCCCCAGAGGGTAGTTTAAAACAATACAAGCCAAGACAAGGTAAAACAATAAGAAATATATTCAAGCCTCTAATTATCAATTTTTAAATTAGGGGAAAACTAATATCATGGTTAAAAGTGATTTAAATAATCAGTTAACAGTGACTTTTTAGAAAAAATAATATTTACGAGATCATACTTTTCTTTCTCTAGAAACATAACCTTAAGTTCAGAAAATTTATCAGGAAAAGAAAGAATACCTCCGGTGTGCTTGGGGTGAAGAAGGGTGATCTGGTGAAGAGTGTCCTGAACCCCGTCCATATGCTTCCTGCCTTTGATTGAACCTTACCAGGTCTCCATCCACAGCATGCGCAGCTTCATCCACACCAGATACATGGAGCGACCCGAGCAAACCAAATTCAGGCTGCTCAGAGGATAAGTCATCGTGGCCAGCACCATGATCATAAGAATAAAACATCATGACCGAAGGTGCTGCACTTCCAGCTTGGTCTGCTCTGCTGGAGTTCCCAGTAGGTAATGGGTGCATGCCATGTGGAATATTTCCTGAGCCATGCATGCCCATGGAACTGAAGGGATTGCTGGGGCTCGGATAGGAAGCCAGGGGCTCATCCCTGTATGAATTCCATGGCGCTTCAGACATATTATCAGTCGCAGTTAGCCTCTTGGACCTCGGGTTCACCTTCTCCGTTTGGTTGCGACCACGACTGCGTCCAGAGGCTCGAGATTTTGACTTCAACCAGCTCCCCTCTCTGTCACTGCGATCACTATGATCGTTGCCATAATGTCCTCCGTGACTACGTGCATGCAGAGCCTGTTGATCCCTGAATGATAAGTTCTGGAGATTTTTTTTAAAAATCAGCTTGGATTTTAATTAAGCAAAGGAAACCTCAGGAAAATAAAGCGGAACGAGAAATCTGCATAATTCAGAAGATAGTCTCCTTTATGAACTCATTAAGCCCAGACAGCTATTAAACAAGATACATTCAGAGCACGTGGACATCAAAGGTCCAGGCAGCCAATTTTGTGGAATGATGATTGTACGAACAATAGGCATAGTTTGGAATCCCACATTATTACTATGTTTTGATACATAACACTGTCATGGAAAATTATGGATAGTTTTCGAAGTATATACATATATATATATTTATATATATATCATAGACAATAAAAAATTTCCACCTAATTCAAAATATCAATGCTGGTAATCTACACTTCTTGAAACTACCGCATGACATTTTAGAAGGAACACATTTGCAATATTTAATTAACCATCCCATTAACTATTCATGCTTTACATGGGAAATCATAATATGAAAATTAGTAAAACGTTTTTTTATTAAAGCCCATGATGACCAAGTTTTGTAGATACATTAACTTATTCAGAAAACCACTTAGCATTACTGAGACTAAAATTTATGTAGAAAAGTCATCACAGAATAAAAGGTCAAGGTATCAAAGAGAGATATAGACTGATACACAAGTATTTCACCATCTAAAGAGTCGGTACTCAATTCAGCGGATGCTTATCCCTTCACATATTGATAGAGTGCACACAGCTTCAGCGTTGTGTTAATATTGGCTCTTAAAAGGGATGAAGCTATGACAGTTTAAAATACAAGGTAAACCATGCATAAGTAATTTTGTTTAGTTTTACCTAAATACACACCATTGTTCAAAGTGACAGATTTTTGTTAAAAATGATAAAGGATCAATAAGAGAAATGACAGCTTTTGGAGACAACAGCACCAGTTTTTTCCCCGTCACTGAAATTCCTGGCATAGAATATACCACAAAAACAAGGACAATAGACCAAGATAGTCAAAGAGACCATAGCTGCTGTGTTCAGGAGAAGGCAAAACGAAAATTGACATTGTGTAGAAACAAAAAAAGAATAAGCAGCCTACATATGATCTCTTGAAGCAAACATCAGGAAAAGGAAAAGATATCAAAAGACAGAAATTAGCTTACTTGGTTGGGAAGATAGGTGCCTGTTCCACCACGATATCTTGGGACGTCATCTAAGTAACCTCGGTAAACATTAGTGGGCCTAGTCTGACCTAGCTGGACTGGTGCCACAGGTGCAGCAGGGCCATGATCCATGACTTGATTAAAGAACTCCATATTGGTTACTAATGGTCTTCCGGGACCATCCAATGGGAAATGACCTTGCAAATACATCGGTGGAATGACAACCGGTGAAGAGTACATCAAAGGTCCAGGGTACCGTGTGTTCTGGCAGAACTTTCCAAATTGAAGATTTTGCCAGTGATTGGCAAAATCACTGTTAAGAATATCAGGGTTATGTACCTCTGACTGTTCAAAAGCTTCATCTTTCATGGTCCCTACACCAATGTGAGCAACTGGCCGTTCTTGGTCCTCTGTCAAGTCAAAGTTCAGATCAGACGAATTTCTATGACCGCTACCACCAAGTCCTATGTTATCAAAGTGACTAGTTGATCCAACGGAAGTAGATGAATCGTAATGGCACACGGGAAGCATTGCCAAAAATGGAACTGGAGGCCCTGTTGGATAAAATGCAAAAGGCAACATCCCAGTATTATCTGCTGTCCCTCGTTGTGAGCTGGCACTGACAAGAACGGGGCGAATAGGAACCATTGGATCTGAATTACTTGAATGTGGTGATTCATGTCCTAAAGAATGAATAGTATGAACCTGCATAGGTGCCATGGAACCAGAGTCCATGGTTCTCTCTACCACATCTGAACCCATCATCGAAAGTGGAACCCACTCTCTGTTATCATCTGCCCCAATTGGAACACTGTCGGAGGATAAATTATCGTAGTCCCACATACTCTTTGTTGTCCCGTGGAAAGGTGCCGAGGTGGAAGTTCCTCTCCTTCTATGCTTATCCCTTGCCAATTGGGATGACATTGTAGGTGCCTTATCACATGAACTTTCAGAAGAAGACTTGCCACTGGACGAAGTAGGCTGAGTATTTGAACAAGATCTCAAATTCGTAATGTCATCCACCAAGTTACTGTCCTGATCTCTCAAGGTCATGTAAGGATGAACGCGATTAGAATCTTCCCCTACCAATCCTTGATCTTCTCTAACAAACATGTACCCATTTCCAGTTGAATGACTACTGGATTTATAAATATTTGATGAAGACAAGGACCCTGTTGATGATGTTTGTTTCCCATCATAATGGAGCGTCAAAACATTTTTGTTGACTTTACATGATGGTCTTGTAGATCCATTATTCTGATCTGCCCAAGAACCACGATCGGCATTCTCTGTTTCTTCTTCTGTGATGCTTGACCTCTTTATGCTTGCCTCAGTAACCACTTCCGGACTTGACAATAATCCGGCATTAGAGTCGCAACTGAGCATCTGTGTAGAATATAGACCATGGGGAAACTGCACAGCAGATCTCCAATGAGGTATATTTTCTGGATGTATAGAAAAATTTCTCTGCACATATTCCATCGATTGAAGCACAGATGATATAGGCACCTGCAGATGAGCTGAAGACATATTCATTGGCAAGTGAACCAGTCCATCAAAATTACCTGCTTCAGATACTGCTGTCATGTTGATCAGATCCTGCTGTTCTTGATGCATCTCCAAAGCTTTTTGCCATGAGACAAACCCCTCACCTGTTGCCAAAAAGTCAGCATTTCCCTGATTAGTTGATGTGAAAGCTGAATCATCAGGGACATCAAAATTTTGGTAGGCTGAACCATGCCTCGGATATGAAAGATCATCAGAAGTCTTGGAACAATAATTAATGAAAATTTCTGAACCCAGATTCTTCCTTTGGCTAGCATGATCTTCTCGTGTAGCAGGGTTCTGATTCTTGACAGTATCTGGCAGTCTATTTCGTTGCCGAGATGAAAAATCAGCAGATGTGTCGCTAAGCTCAGGGCTGGATCTTGTCCTTGCAAACTGAAAGCTGCCCGACCCTTCGCTAAGCTCAGTCTTTTGGGACTTATCATTTTCCACCAGTTCACTGGAGTTGAGACCTCCCTCCACTTGAGCTGTATGCCCAGAGCTTTTCGAAACATCATTTTTTTTCTGACTATGTGTACGAATTGTAGATAGAAGATTGCCAGGACTACAAAATTTTTGAGCGCTTTGGTCTACAGTACTGACAGGCTGAGAGATTGCCTGGGTAGAAACAGCTTCAACAGGCGTTTCTACGTTACTTGAAGGCTGCATATTCCACAAATCCGGACTTGGAGCATCTGGACGCTGAGAGGACCTGTGCTGTCTCCATATGTTCATGAAGAACTTATCGACATCAGAAGGTAGATCATCTTTCGGACATTCAAGCAAAGCTGCTAACCTTTTAGCCCCAAATGCAAAGGCACTGCGTATCCTATAGAAATTGCCTAAACAGCATGTTCAGAAAATGTGTTAGCATATTTCAATCATACATGACTTACAAGGTTACAATGTGACAAAGCCGAGCAGACAAACAAAAAACTTGAGAGCTAGCAGACTACACATGCCCCACACATACATGATGAACCACTCATGATCTACCAATTGCACTAAGAAAGGACCTGGATGAAACATGAGATTAAGTGAACATCATAAAATTTTCCACCTTTTATATAACAAAGATAATAGATCAACAAAGGCTTTATCGCCACTCAGGTTTGAAATTGTTTTCGACATCTTCAAAAATACAAAACATTCTATAGCAGAAATTAAGTTATAGCCAAACACCCAACCTGACCATGTAAACAAAAATCCAAGCAATGACCTCTCTACACTCGCCAACACAGAGATCCATAATCTGGAAGCTAAAGAACCCCTCATCTTTCAAACATTATTTTGCCTTACAGGCACGCCAATCACACAGCAAATAAAGACATCAGAGGGTTAACAAAAGCAGATAGGAGTTGCCTGAATACAATTGAAGCGGCTCCTAAATTAGAGATTTTCACTATAGCGGACAAGATTGTGTTCCTATTAAATCTTCCAAAGAAAATTCCAGATGATACCTTCTAAATGACAGATGATCTAATTTCTATGACTGAGAAAAAAAAGTACCCTAAATTCAATGAAATTTGTTTGAGTTACATGTCTTGCCATACAAAATATACAAAAACAAATATAAGTTTCTAAATAGCACATCTACATAGCAGAATGGAAGGATTATCTAAATAGCACATCAATGCTTCTTTCGATTTAATACGCATGCGGTACACAAGTAAACTCCAGATGTTCAGATGCGGCTCCTCTGTTTCACAGCGAGGGAAGAAAACAGAACAAAGTGTCCCATTGAAGTGTCCAGAAAACAAAGAGAACATTCTTAAATCATGAGAAAAAGTTCCTAAAAGATACTTTGATGACAGTGAAGAACAGCACTACCTTTACTGACACTTCTTCCAAGGTTGTTGTTTATACGCAGAGGATCAATGATATTAAAAAACTTTGAAACAAAGGGTTGGCCCTGGTTTTCCTGGATGGATGGAGAAACAGAATACTTTGAACTACATGCATCAAGATAAAGTTTGCTGAGTAACACCTCTCCATTATCTTTTCGAGGAGGTTCCGCTGAATGACAAAAACAATGAAAAGAAGAGAAAATCAGATGAAATCAATGATCATTTACTTAAAATACTTTTTCCTTGACTTGTACCTTTCATATCTGGAAGTGAATTGATAGGAATTGGACCCCAAAGACTAACACAAAAATTTTCCCAATCAAAGTTACTGAAAAATTCCAAAAACCGATAAAGGACCTGGAGATTCACAAAATAGAAAAGAGAAAATTGATTAGAAAATTTGATGTGAAAAAAAAAGAGCAAAGGAGAGTAGTCAATAAATTACCTCAAGTGGGCCAGAAAAGGAATTATTAAATATATGAAATATATAAAGAACCAATATCTCCAAAGCATAGGTGGAAATAAGTCCATGATGAGCTCCCAGAATACGGCTTTCATAATAACACCACGCCTTTATTAGTATGATACTGCGCTTGAACAAATGATCTTGGTCTATAAGTTGGTCAATCTAAAGGATTACAAAGCTCAGTGAGCAAAGGGACTAGGGGAAGCAGAAACTCCTTTTGTATGTGTATCTACTTAAAATAGAACCTCACCTCTTCAAGGAAACAAAGGGTGCATAACCCGCCAAGCTGGTTAAAAGAAATATCTACAACAATGTTTTCTACTAGACACTTTATTATCTTTACCTGAAAGAAACAAAAACAGAGTGAGAAAGGAGTTGGTTACACAAAACACTTTTTTAAATTCAGAAAATACATCAGACTGGTAAGTAATTAAAGAGTTCTACTTGTAGGACTCAATAAAACGTGCAATATCATGTACAGTAAAAGATTGGAACAAAAGTGCGTTTTTGCAGAAATTATTCCACATATTAGTCAACAGAATGAATTTAAAGAACATGGTAACTACAAAGTACTCTCCATCATCAGAGATCCTCCAATCGATACCTCCACTTGGATGGAGGGCAATGATGTAAGGAGAAATACAAGGAAAACATCACAGCAACCACTGGTTGACTTCGTTCCTTTAGTAATTAATATTATAAAATTTGTGTGTGCGGGGAGAAGTGGGAAGAGAAGAGAGTTTTGACAAATTATGTGCTCAGCAGATGAGACTGCAGACAATATTCAAATGTGTCTGCTTAATCATCCATTGTCACCTCAAACCGAACTAATGAGATCTATAGAACTAGAAGACCTCAGGTGCAACAAAATCCTGCCTCAATGGTTCTAAACTTGACAGATTACCTTTTCTCAAAGGACATATGGTCGACTAATTCTGGCTACCGTTTGCAACTGCATAAACTCCATAAATTTGAGGATCCTACAGCTTCTCATAAATTCAGGAATGTTTCTAGATCTCAGAAAAAGAAAGAAGAACGTTTTTGAAATAATTTATACAAATTATTGGAAAATCTAGTGAAGACAATAAAAAAATGAAGTATATGACAAGGCATACATCAGTATCTACTATTATTCAAAAATAAAGCATAGAGAACATTGTTTTTCAATCAATTTTAAGCACGGATACAAATGAAACTGGAAAATTTAGAAGATAATTCAGAAGATACATCATTTGAAATTTTCGCAAAGTAGAGGTACTACTGATAGAAAACACGAGAAAAAATAGTTTGATCACAGGAGGATGCAGATCTACACAGAAATAACCCCATAAAAATGTTTAATGGTTCTTAATGTTCCAACTACATCTAACCAAACTGTTATCATCTCACCTCAGCAACGCCAATGGGAGAACCACCAGCACAGATATTTCCAAAACACTATTACATTCAATTGCACTAGTCAAACATCCAACAAAATATATAATAACTCCACACAGAGTGCATACGGTTGATCATATCTTGTGATTTCATACTCATATTCAAGAAAGGACTAATTGTCCATGTGAGTTGGTATATAACATAGTCATCACGCGATTTCCAGAATCCAATTCAAGTAAACTAAGTTTAATAAAATCCATCAGGATACGAAATAGTCAACAATTAAAACAAGTTGTGGCCTTCGTTCCAAAACGTCGAAATGCATTTCCAGGAAACAGTAGAAGGTAGCAATGAATAAAAGCACTACAAACTATAGCCAGATGCTAATTAAGAAGAGAAAAATTTATAGACTGCAAACATATGGTGTATTTTTGCATGATAAGCATACTTCTGCTTGAATGTACTGAACTTCATTTACACGAAATTCAGCATTTTCACTTCTTTCTTCAGTCTCAAGCATGTTGCGGACATCATCAGCCCACATGTCCTTCAAAATGGGATTCTTACTAAAAGCTGTCATGTCAATATCCCCATCAGGTAAGTAAGTCTTCAGAGGCACTGAGCCGAACGTGAAGACCTGACACAATTTCAAGAGTCAAATAATTCAATAGATGAAATATCAAAGACACATACAGGTGGAGAGAATCGTTCAACCCTTCGATGGTTATGATAGAAATCATTCAAAACAAATACCTACAGATTCAGACAGGCGACTCAGCCGAAACATATGCCGTCAAGAAGTTAATGTAGTTCCATAAAATAACCTAACCAAGTGGTTGGCAGAAAAATTGTGGACATTTTAAAAAAATAAAATATGAGAACATTCGACATTTAACAGAACAGTGAAATCGTATTTCCTCCCTTAAACTCAGTCTGTGTCAATCATGATGTAAAGGCTGTATCATCCCACGGGCTTAGGAAAAAGGCGTACTCTAGACTGTACAATTCTCCTCTGAGGGTTCTACAATATGGCATGTCGAATGCTTTATAATATAAATTTAAACAGCAATTCACTTGCGAGTTTCAACTCTTAGGCAATTCTAACAGCTTATTAAAAATGATGTCATATGGTTCCCCAATCCAGCAAGAAGAAATCAACATCTACTAAAAAAACCTACACCAAGTATCCTCAAATAACACATTGAAAACGCTAGATTGCAGCTCGTCAATACATGAAATAACCAGCTTCAATCAGTGCAAGTAACCACTAAGAAACTGTCATCAAGCGCTCAAACAAGCTTTCTGCCACTATTGGCACTCTAAAACATGAAATCGGAGTCAATGAGAAAATATTAAACACGTAACCAGTCCAGATTCCATAGCAAGATCTTCTAGGTGGCACCGTTCTTAACCTGCTTCAAAGTAGACATGATCGAGCAGAAGAAAAAAGTCTTATACACAGGATTTTCGCCGACAGCATTAATGCTATATTCCCCGAGCTCAAATTTACAGCCCATATATATTACAAGACAGACTAATCCATAATTTTGGCAAAAAATATATACCACAGTAGCTCATAGACGACCTATCGGATTCTGTGGTAGAAGGCATAGGAATGCCGTAAGGACACACAAGCTCTTTCAGCTACCCTGTGGAAGAGGACAAAATGCGTTGCAACCCTATAACATCCAGTAGAATTCTAATCTTGAAGAAAGTCCATAAACAGCCACCATAACGTGGCCTATACACTGTCACTCACAAGGCCCGGAAAAAGTCCAGGAGCAGAGCCATGGGATCTTCTCCCGCATGGAATTTTATAAAACCATAGTTCATGGTAATTAGGATTAGCATATGTCCACAGGTACAATATAAGGAAGTAACCATACAGGTGAAGGAACTAAATAATTAATATGTATTGAACCAGTGTTGATCAAATGGCATACATCAAGTTACACTAGAACTCCATGAGAAACAACAATAATTGGAAGCATATGGAGAAAAAGAGCATGAAGAGGAATTACAAAGATAGATTGATAAAGACGAAGACTAACAAAAAGGTCAAAGATGAAGGAAAACACTAGCAAAGCAAAAACCGAAGGATAAAACAAGAACCATATACCATGAACGATGACGAAAAAAAAGAACAGATGCACTAAGAGTAAATGAGAATCAACTTATTCTCTCCTGGCTAGGCAGCAGAACAAAGTGACAAGGGAAACACTTCTGACGTCAATGCTCAGAGGCAAGCCATGGGAAACACCATCGGATAAAATGTGGCCGTTTAGAAAACCAGAAAACGTAGGCTACCTGGCAGGAGAAACACTTCATGATTAGCCGTTGAACATAGTTTGCAACAGCATTTCTACACGTCTCAGATTGTTGATTTGGCTGAATGCATTGGATCAACTCGGCTGTCCTTGCCTCAGCCATTGACCATCGGTCAGCATCCAGAACCCTGGTCACACTTGCCGCTTTATTCGGCAGGAGGCCGTTCAGCAGTGAGCTACTCGGCCGCGAGAAACCACCATGGTCGCCCATAAAGAGCAACTCCACAGTTACTAATCTACGCCGTCGCAAACACCTCTTCCTCCCCCTCTTTCCTTTCTTGGAGAGCCCCCAGAATCCAGTATATGCACCATACAAGGTTTGTTAATCTGCCACAGAAAGAAACAGATGACACCCGACGCTCTCCAAATGAAAACCCTCACTCTCTCGAACCCAGAAATCTAACATTCAGCAGGCGAGACTAATGCGGCACAAGAACCATGTCATCCTAGTCTTCTTGAATCAAATGCAATAATGTGGGGTCACCAACACTACCTCCCCACATGGTACTCGATCTCTTTCTCTCTCTCTCTCTCTCTCTCTCTCTCTCTCCCTCTCCGCACAGAAACGGTAAAAGGGGAAGAACCGGCCAACAGCAAGATCAAACCCACCAACGTCGGCACAAGTCGGACAACCTGGCGGCGGCAATCTAATCCCCTCACTTCCTGAAGCGTTCCCCGAGGCCTCCCGATCGACAAGAAGACGAACACAAAGCCGTTTATTTCGGCCGAGATGACCTCGAGAATTCCACGTAGAAGAAGTAGGATACCAACCAACCCTCGCCCCCCGCTAACCCCGCCAACAAGTTCTTGGCGGCGTCGGCAGCAGCACCTCGGCAGCCCGGATGGTCGGCGACGAGTTGTCGTAGTCGAAGAAAGAGACAGAATGGTGGCTTTTCCGCCTATGTACCTCAGTTACCAGGAATAAGAGACCGGCGGCGTAGTGCAAAGAGCACACCAGTCAGAGAGAGAGAGAGAGAGAGTTTAAAAGCCACGCGGGGGATGCCGAGAGGATCGTTGGTAGTTACCGTTAACGTCCTAATCGGATCCTACAGACAGAAACAATAAAAGAAGTCCGTTTGAGCTATCCGTATTGGTAGAGGATACAAACAAGACTATTTCTCATTTATTCTGTACACGAATATTTTTAGAAAAAATATGTATATGAGAGAGAGAGAGAGAGAAGAGGTGAGAGAGAAGGGAGGAGAGAAAAAAAAAGGAGAGGTGATAACACCTGATGGTTATAGAGAGATAAAAGAAAGGTGGGAGAAGATGGAGAGAGAGAGAGAGAGAGAGAGAGAGAGAGAGAGAGGAAGATAGGATAAATAAATACAATAAAAAAAATAGAATTATCTTGCATAAACATAGACTCTTTTAAACGGTGACCCTTCTGTCACTTTGTTGTGCTTCAAATCTCAACTAAATTAATTTTTTCAGGGAATTGGGTAGCAACTTCTCTGAGAAAAAACCCATTTTTGCTCCATTTATTGCCTATATTTTAATGATATATAAGTAGAATAATTATTACTACAGGGTTTCATCATGCAGGAAATAATTATGGGCCCACTTGCACCTACGGGCTGACCTTGACCTTTCTTTACCCCAAGACCCATTAGATATCATGGAGCTAAAGTCAACTGATAATGAATGAAAGAAAGTTTCGAAACCAGGTTTTATTGGGTTATTAAAAAGGAAATAAAATTCTCACATTTTGAGTCTGATTTAAATGCGATCAGAAGCAAATCAATAATGGGCCATTTAATCCGAAATTAATTAATAATAAATAAAGTGGCCCACCTATTTCAAGGACAATATTTGACTTTCACTCACATTCTGCGGTCATTTCACAAATTTAAATAAAAAAAATCTAAAAAAACGTGAAGATGATAAATTCAACGAAAGTATATACCATTTTGATGCAATTTCTTTCCTCCCGATTTAACTATTTTTGCGGTTGACTTTACCTAGTAAATTATAGTCAACGAGCAACACTTCCTGAAGCATCTGGTAGTTCCACTGTTTCTCACACATGGTTACAAAATAGCTGGAGTCAACCATATGAACATGAACACCAAGAAAACCAGAAGACCTTATACTTTGAACAGTATACAGGTATATAAATTAAGAATATATATATATATATATATTCCTTGTTAATACAGACGGGACAGCACGGTATTTACTGCGAGGGTAACTTCATTTCAAGCACTCAAGCTTAGTCCCACATAGGAGCTTCCTGCCAAAAAAAAAAAAAAAAGGAATTTTTGCCACACCCATCATTAGAAAACAGTGAGATCTGCCAGAAGGGAGCGATGCAGATGAGCAGGGAAAATGAAACAATTCAAGAATATTTAGAGAAATATACAACTTAGGAGGAACCAGGCCACAGAAAAATAATACAAAACGTTGGTCTGACTTGGTGATAACTACTGAGAGCTGGAAGTCAAAGAATTATCAGATGAAACTCCTTCAAAACGTTAAGAGCCTCTAATCATGTGATAACATAAGATCTCACTGCATAACACCTTTTTACTGAAAGAAGGATTGACAAGACCTTATGAAAGTGACCTTGATCATGCACATAGATACCAACTGCCAGTGCTCTCATGGTCTGAGTTAGGCTATTTGCAATCAGATGACCAGCCTTTGATATCACCCGTGTATGATCATGGGATTCCTCACTCATTAATCTCCCATGACGCCCCTATAAAAGGGAAATCTCCAAAGTGTAGTGGTTAACTCCTAATTGTTCTGAACGCAAACAAATACATAAAAAAATTATTTTAGGTTCACTAAAATACTTGCGACTCTGCAGCATACAAGTCCATAATCTTCGAATATTATCTCTCACTTCCACTATCCATCTGTTCTTGGGAACTCAGATCAGGGCTCCAAGAAGGGCCAGGGGACAGGAAAATCCTCGTCAAAATCATATGAGATGGCCCATGTTGGCTGCAGCATGAAACAGTTCTCAAGCATGCTGTAGAAGTAACCAATGCTCCTGGGGAGAGCAATGAATCACAGTTGGAGGGGTGACCAACTAATAAGTGGACTTAGTAGGATTAAAATGACATAGAAACTTTATCAGACCTAGGGATAACCAGATGGCCTTTGCAGTTCAAAAGTCAACCTTCTCCTCATCTCTAGGGGCTCTGAAAATTTCCTCCTAAGCACAATTTCTTTTTTATTTGTGTACACACCCGTTTGTATTTCCTATCGCTCAGGGATACTAATGAGTACGACATCTCCAGGTGGGCTCTTCAACATTAGAGAACATCATATGTTGCTAACGGCAATTAACGTCGACTACCAAGATAAAGCTTAAAAAAGCTATCAGCCAACGCATTATTTAATACCATTCGTGATCAAGAACAGAAGAATGTATTTGGGTCACTGACTAGAATAAGAGTTCTTGTAAGAAACATCAACATTAACATCCTGTATGGATGTTAATCAAACAATGTCGACATAATTGATTGCAGATAATCACATATCAAAATATTCAAAACTAGTGGCATTATCAATGATGAATGATGCAAAATAATGACATGACCAGTGGGCCATGATGAAGAATACTATAACTCATCAATAGTGAGCTCTCCACATATTTACATGTGCCCAGTGCTCTGTGGTGCCATGAGCCTGTTCCTCGCACACTGGATATAGTGAATGCATTATAACTGAGCGGAGTGAAAAAAAATACCACATACGATTTTACTTGATCAAGGGAGTAAACTATCGATTTTCCCTAAATAGAATCGATGCAGGGAATGGAAATTGATCCAAATAGAATGAAATTGAGGGAAATTATCCATGCAGGGTTAAAATAAGATAGTGATGAGATATATTAGAAGCATAACGAAAACTAGTGATTTTGATACACTGAAGAGTTTCGATGAGCAGAAATTTTCATTATTAGAATAGGTTAAATCTCACAGAAAATTTCACCTTAAGGTGCTGTGATATGATCCTCGATGTTTTTATTGTTTCAGCATTTTAGTGGAGGTATTTCGTTAGTTTGGATGTCCTTTATGGGATTTGAAATAACTTTTAGTTGATGGGTTTTTTTGGTTAAAACAAAAACTAAAGAACAAAGCTGCTATGTCAACTCATCAATGGGAAACGAGATATAAGTATGGGCTAAGTCCTAAAGATATAAAATTCAGCAAGAGGAGAAGATGAATTGCCTTGTTCTACAAACCTCGGATAGTAAGAAAATTTTGTGGAGAGAGGAATGCAAATAAGACACTGCGATTTTTATTATGCTTTCAGTTGGTTCTAGACATACTCCCGCTTCTTGAGCCTACTCTATTCCATAGAAGTCCTTCTAACTCATCATAAGGTAGCTCTTCCAAAGAGCTGGCAGGACCCTTTTTATCGTTCTTGTCACAGTGTCGCCTGACACAGTGCAAAATGAAAAAAAAAACGTTACAAAAACCTTTAATAGAGCTTAAAATCCATTTTCTAAATATTTTTGGTAAGGCAAAAATATTCCTTCCACTCGTTCTTGTCAAATTAATGGATATTTAAATAACATAAAGTTGGGTTTAACACCCACAGCTTGTAAGCCAACACATGCAGTGAATTAGAGAATATGGCACACACTCATAGGTGCAAGGGTTGGCATCTATAGAAGAATAAGGAATCGGATGTACCAAGGTTTAACACTTTTGAAGCCCATGACCTTGGTCGAAACCCCAAGTTAACCATTGGGTTTGAGCCTATGATGCAAGTGAGTGGAGTCCAAGTGATATCTACGAGAGTCCCCTTAATGTGATGGGTAAGGCTCCTTTGTGGGTAAAAGAAAACCCCTCTTGGAAATGACCATCTCTCCATGAAACCACATGGTTCAAACTATCAATGGGCATTTGCCTTTTTCTTGGTTTGAAGTACAAACCTTCAAAAGCTTTCTTTTAGCCTGTTAGTGCAGTTCCCAAATCGGGTTTCTCGTATCTTCTCTTCGAGGACTACCCTACCTTGAGCATCCACCACCATTTCTCTTCTCCAAAATCCCTCTTCTTCATCCTCTCCATTGTTCTCCTCCAGGAGCAAAAGCATTGCAGTGGGACTCCTCAAAGGAGTACACACATGACTAGTGGATGAAGGGGCCTTGTCACATCTACTTCTTTTTTCTCCTTTAGAGTGACTGACATAGTGTAAGGTTTTAGTACAGAAGCACGACAGGCTTCTTCATCATTGTGCCGCTACCTAGTGCCTCTTTGTAATCACCGCACAATGTTAATGAGGCTTCAGCAAAACTTTCATCATCCTACTACTTAATTAGCAACATATTTCAGCCCAAGAGGGGAAGTAATCAGTCGACCTCATGAATGTCACCTCAGGTGAACCCACCTAAATAATAACAAATATCAAAGAGCTCCAAGATGTCGGATTCGAGACTTGAATGGAGAATATATAGCAGTAAGCAGCCCAAATACTTGCAGAAATCAGAGACCAAGTCCTACCTCATATCTGGGTAGAGGAAGGAAGGGTTTTCTAATTGGCTCTATCCATATATAAATCTATAAGAAAAAACTGGCGAGGTTTTATATTGTCCGACAAAATGGTCCAGTAAGGTCTCCGAGGAACTCGGGGTACCCAATTCAGGAAATTTTGAAGAGAGAACAAAGGGGAAGAGGCATCGTTATCACTAAGAACCAGACCAATCTGGAATTTCCAATCCTAACTCAACAACCCATATGGGAAAGGATTAGGCATCAGTGGCGATCCAACCCAAATAATTTCACCTTACATAATGTATTACACACAATTTTTAAAATAATAAAACATCTTTCGTTCTAGAAAAAAAAATTGGACACCCTGGAATCAACTAATTGACTGAATTAATCCCAAAAGAAAAAATAATTCCCACTAAATAATGTGTAGCCGTAAAACAATAAGAAACCTATCTGAGGCTGAATGATCAGAACAGAGGGAAAAAAGAGAATGACACACAAAAAGGATTAGTCAGCTTTGACCTCAGCCAGCTTTGTACCTGATATACGATACCTTGTGAAAATAAGTTTTTTTTTATATTTTTCTCAGTGGAAATTGAGCTGCCTGTGGAATAATCCGTCAAGTTAAGCCACCCATCATATCATCTACCTAGCCCAGAGAAACGTTCAACCATTACTGGATTAGTGAGGAGAAGGGTGTAAAATATAATTTAAATTAAATACCAGCATTTTCTCCCATCTCTCTACACTTCTTTTAGCCCAGGACCAGCCTAAAACAGCATGTTACTGATGTTACATATTCAATACGCAAACATGGGAGCAACTCAATCTACCCTCACCATTAGACGTCATGGTTTCACATAGATCCATACCCCATCAACGTATTCATCCTCCAAAGATTATCACAGCTAAATGTAGCTTTCATCATTTGCAAAAAGTTAGAAATGAAAGGGTATGCGATTGGAAATAAATTAGTGTTGACCTCACAGTTCAAAAGGAACCTGCCACTATCTTGGGAGGAGGCCACAGAATACCCAGGCATCACCAATAAATGAAGTAAAAATATAGTAGCTAACTGATTGAATAGCCACCCAGGTCGAATGAATCAAACTAGATCCAAGATATATGTAATTTCATTCATCCAGGTACTTTCTTGCATGGTTAGCTTTTCAAACCTAACTGGTGTTTCCAAGTAGGTCAATGTTAGAACCTAAATAACATCAGACCCTAAAACAAAAAAGTTCTGAAGCATATAAGGGCAAATAAAACAAGGATGAAACGAAGAGAATAATCCACTAAAGACTTGAACTCAAAATGCAGTGTTTGCATTGATGCAACTATCTACAAATAAAAAACAATGCAGACCACACGACCCAGAAAAAAAATATGGAGTTGTAAATAAAAGATATATCTGATGCAGTAAAAACAGCAAGAATCCAAAACACTGAGCATAATCACTAACGATAATGAGCATCCATGTTGCTCCTTTTTCTTCTTCTCTTTCCGTTTTGATGGAGGATTAACAACCACCTTGATCGCAGCATCAAAAACAGCCTTAATATTCTGCACACATATTATATTTTAATTCATTATGATCACCAAAAATATGAAAACAGAGGTGGAGCTGGAGAAATTTACAAATTCAAGCTACCTGCTGGGTTTTAGAACTGCATTCTATGTAATATGCAGCACCAATCTGTTTGCGGAGCTCCTCTCCCTGAAATTCCAGAGAAAAAAGGCATTGGTCAGATCATTTAATTGACATTCAAAAAGTATGAAGCAGAAGAAAAACTAAACCATGCAGATTTCATACCTGAGCTGTCGTAACAGGCACCAACCCAGGGTGGTCAGATAAATAGTGCCTATCTTCACGAAGATCTGCAGAGATTGAAGAACTTAAGAACACAATCTTCTGAAACAATAGCCGAGTTATTATGCCCCACCCTCCACAAGTTTTCCTGTCTTTATTCCTTCTTCCACCCAATCCTCCCACACCCACATACACATGATTCATGCATGCATAGGTACCTTCAATGGGCATTAAAAAGATGTCATTCTGATTACTGAAGTCAATATGAAATTCAATTTGAATTAGATCCAGATGATATAAATGTCTACACCCTCACCCCCTGACATAAAATAGAAAGAAACCCGAGTAGTTATCCCTATCCAGGCAAGGGAAGATAGTTTTAATGCAATGAACCTCATCAGTAACTCTGACTTTATAAGCCAGTGTGCACCAGTACGACCAACTCAAATGAGTAGCCGAGATTGGGTCAATAAATCTCTGAATTCATGTTTTATACCTTCCTGTTCTTCATGTTTTACACAAAATACAAGCTTTTCATGAAATTAGAAGAGCATGCCACTTAGTGGCATTTACATAGGTGATTTTTCATAATAATTACCATACTATTGCATACCCCCCCCCCCCCCAAGAAGACAAACAGGCGAGAAAGACATAGAGAAAATCACATTTGTGCGCGCGTGTGTGTGTGTGTTCGAAAGGTAAGGGGAAAAAAAAATAATCTTCATCCACTCACCCATTTTGGTGCCAGCAAGCACGACTGGTACTCCACGAGCAAAATGCTGAAGCTCAGGTATCCACTGAGCACCATTACCAAGGAGAGAATTGTCTGAGTCGAGGTGTATGTGCTTAAAATCAAGACACACTATTCATCTTCTGTTCAGAGAAGCCACCGACTACGAGCGTACCTTCTTCGTCACGTTCTCATAGCTTGCGCGGCTCACCAGGGAGAAAGCCAGGACGAAGACATCCGCTCCCCTGTAGCTCAAGGGCCTCAGCCTATTATAGTCCTCTTGCCCTGATCGCAAAAGAGGATAAGAGGATAGAATTATTGAGGGGGGGGGGCGGTGGATTAGCTCAGAGAGCTGCCCGAAATATCCCAGGTTTCGAAACTGGGAGACGAAGAGGAGGCGGGGGATCAGAGGGGAGTTCCCGGCGGACCTGCGGTGTCCCAGAGGCCCAGGTTGACGGTGATTCCCTCGGCGACGACATTGGCGCTGAAGTTGTCGAAGACGGTGGGGACGTAGTCCTGGGAGGAGGCAGATTATCTTCAGGAAGGAGGAAATAGAGGAGGGGAGGAGCAGAAGACGCAGGTGGAAGAGCAAGAGGTGTCCCAGGTGGGGGGTGGAGGAACTCCTCACGGTTGGGAACTTGTTGCTGGTGTAGCAAATGAGCATACAGGTCTTGCCCACCGCGCCGTCCCCCACTGTGACGCACTTGATGAACTTGGCCGCGTTGGTTCCCATTGCCGCCAAGACGAAGACCCAGCAACCCGCAGAGAGAACTTCACGCAGCGAGAGAGAGAGAGAGAGAGAGGGGCAGGGAAGAAAGGGGAGATATGAAGGTGCTTCCTTGAAAGAGAGAAAGTGATCACATGGTTCACACGGTCGCCTAGGGGCCGATGCCCGCAGAGGGGAAGCTCTGGCGGCCAACGGGGATGATGGATTATCTGCTCCGTCTCTTCAGGGGAACATTAAAGAAAAAGGAGGCTATGGGTGGATCCCCTTTTTCGGCTTCCACCATCGCCTCCTCCTCCAAGGTTTGATTTACGCAGATGAAAGGTCCCCCCTGCCCGAGGCCAGCCGGCAGCTGCTATGAGCTATAAAGGACTCCTTTTTACGCATCCCGTCCCTCGTTACTCAGCGTTTGCACAGTTTAACTTCGGCTGAGTCAACGACGACCACAGGAGACTTCTCGGTGACCTCCTCCAAATTCCATCACGAGAGACCCAGAAATCTTCTGCCTTACCGCCTGTCACTTCACCACCCTGTACCAGTCATTTCATGTCTTCTGAGCAGAGCTCGTGATTTCCTCGTCATTTTTCCTTTAGGCGGCGGCGGCGGCGGCGGCGGCGGCGGCCGCGGCAGCTGCGGAGGAGGAACATATTCCTACGGGCCCCCGTGGCCTCACCTTTGGTACGAAGAAGCCTCGCGATCTTCCTGGAACCTCCATGGCCGGCCGCCGCCGCAGGCGGGGGAGAAAGGAGATCGCAGACCTCAGCTCCAAAAGGTAGCCGTTGTTCCCCGTAGTTCCTTAGGGGGGGGGGAGGGACGGGGGGTGGGGGGTCACTGTAGAACAGAGCAGCGGAAAAAGATGAGCTTCGTCCCTTCGACGGCGGTAGGCAGGCTTTGACAGATGATGTCACAGAGGGGGTCCACGGCGCCGCCGCCGCACTGTTGGGTGCCAGCGGGAATGGTGGGGGGTTGTCGAGGTCTTCCCCCTCTTCCCTTGCCGTCAAGATCTCACTTCGGAGATATTTTCTCACGTAATTACAGTGCACCGTAATGTTTACTTTTTAACCCGAAGTTACATTCCAGGTGCCGGAAATGGGCCCCACCTGTCCCCGCTCCCTCCCGTGCCTCATTTGCGCCTAAGTCATATTTGAGAAAAACAGCACGTGTGAAGTCAACCATGTCAACTTTTTTTTATTTGATTACTTGATCAAAATAAATAAATAAAATAATGTCCAGAGAACCTCTCTTGATGACAACACTGGGCAAGGCGTAATCAGTCCTAAATCACTCCTAAATACATATATTAAAGGAAAATAACATGATTAATTATTTTCTTAAAAAGTTTTGGATTTTAGAGATTGCATGTCACTAGTTACAAAGGCTGCTCCCACATGATATTGCGATAGAAACCATCGCTCAAATTGCTTTCCCATATCTTCTAGTAATTTATATATAACTTCATACACACTTGTTTTAAGCCTCTACAAATCCATTAAATAAAAAATTATTCACCAATACTTAGTGCTTTGGATGACTATAACGTGATTTTTTTTTAATTTTGTGATTTTTTAAATTAAAATTGTGGCTAAATATAAATAATAATTTAGTGGAATATAAAATTATCATTTTTAACACTACTTACCTAATAGAAGAAATGACTAACAAAAAATTCAAAAGTAGTGAGTGCATATATTGTGAAGAATTGGTGAGTTGAAATTAGGGGAGTCAGCACCCCCTTGTTTGAAGGAATGAGGTTCCAACACTGAAAGCTCAACATGCAATTGAGGGCACACATGAGATAGCATCATAAACGAGGTGTGGAACGACAAGTACACCTGCATGGAGTCACACAACACATGACATAATGACGTGTAGTATGAAATGACGTGGACATGTGCAGATGGTATGGTTGTTCATATGGATAGTACTAGTGTATCATGTGCCAAGGCATGTGGTGGGCACACCATGAAGTTAATTGAACTGACCCATTAACCTTAAAGACAACTTACCATAGGAACTAGCACTATTAAATTAAACTCTTTGAGATATGTATTCATCCACAACCATGTCATGTAATTGGGCAGGAAATTATTGTGGTAAGAAAATGGCATTATGGGCCTTAGTGTAGAAAATATACCTATGTTGATATATCATATGTGGCCTCAATGTAACAAGAGATTTTGGTTGTCTCACATTGATATGTCCACAACTATATCCATAATCTTAAGGGGATTGTGGGAAAAGCCATTTTCATCTCCTACAATCATGTTGTGCAAAGTGAAAGTGACAAAGATATGGTTCCCTCTTAAAATTTGAGTTTCTTTTTTGAGCAAAACTTTTGTGAAACTCGAGAGAGGGAAGAAGGCTACTTGACCATTAGACAAACAATCAAGAACCCATATAATGCAACAAGAGAGGTACATTTTACGTCCACGAACATGAGAGTGGGTCTTAGAGCAAGTTTTCTTGTATTATGACAAATGAAAGATAGCAAGAGAGAATGGAACTCATTTTCAGCACTCAAGGCTCTAATCATACAATGAAACTAAAAAGCTTCTCTTTGTCAAACATAAAATTTATGTCCCTGATGAGTGAAAGGAATTAATTAATTTACTTTTGCACCAATCTTGTATGTCATAGATGATGTACTGTTGATGCAATAACACTCACATTTCTCAACCCCAACACTAATTCTTCCATCATCAACCAAATACCTAGTGAAGTATCTCTGCCAAAGAAGAAATCCAAATCATCTACTTAAAGGTCTCCATCCCTCAAAAACCAAAACCTACAAAGGATATTACTCTAAAGGAATTTCAAGTAAAAATCATGAAAACTAAATGCTCACAAATAGAGGACACTCTCCAATCTAGCATTCTAATATTTCTTAAATATTTTTCATCATTATTCTTCGTCATAGAATTTGAATCTATGTTTCAACAATCTTTTAAGGGGAACACTTATTTGGGGGGAGCAATGAATGCTTGAATGTATTTTTGTATACTTGAACACTTGTTTTTGAAACACATTATTGATTTGTGTTCATACAAATTTTATGTGTCGATTATGTAGAGGAATAAAACTTTATATCACATATTTGTCATATGGATAAGCATATAAATAAAATTTCTCAAATATATTTTATAATTATCAGAAAGTGATAGATTGTTGATGCCCTTGGTTTGAAAATTTTCTTTTTCAATAGTGGATAATCAACTTAAAAGTGAACTATTTCTTACACTCGAAACACAGATTATTAGAATTTTTAGAAAACTTATTTGTACTTTCTTTACGCAAAAAAGTTTTTCTTTCTTTTTCACATTTGTTCAATTGTCTAGACAATAACATAATCTTGTCATCATCATCAGATGTTTCAACAAATTTAAGAGTAATTTTTATACTTTTATTTTTTGAAAGAGATTTACTCTTAGCTACATCAATCTCATGCATTATTAATGATTCACTAATTTCATTAAATCAAATAATTTTTAAATCTTTGGATTCTACAATCAATATTTTCTTAGCCATTCAATCATTAGTCAATGTTGCTTCCTTAGATTCCACTTGTAAAAGTTTTGCCAAGATTTTTCAAGCCATGGATTGTTTTGTCAAATTTTTTAACAATACCATGAATAGATTCTCCTTCTTCCATTTGAAATAATTTATACCTACTTACCAAAATGCCAATTTTGATATATTTAACTTGAGATGTTCCTTCATAAATTACCTTTAACTTGTCCCATGCTTCACTTGCTTGTTTCACAACTTGACACATGGTTAAACATAGAAATATTAATAGTACTAACCAAAATATTCATTCATTGCATTCAATGTCAAGGTTAGAGGATTAAGTTGTTTCACTAGTCATAGGATTTTCTCCTTGACATTTTTTAATATTTACCTATCAAGATGAATCTTGATACCAAATGTAAGTTCAAAGGGGGCGAGGTGAACTTACATGTATGAGATTTCATACCATGAATGTCATACACTTTGCTACAAGGATAATTTGATATTTCATCCACATTTGTTGTTAAAGTTTGTCATTATATGTGGAGTATATGCTTGTCAAAACAACCTTGTCTACCATTGGGATATGTGTTGTCTTAAAGTAATGATCTTTAGTTTACTAGAAAATTCTCATTTCATGAACATTGTGTTTCAACTATTTTTGGTTATCTGACTCTTTGATGTAGATTGCTGATCAACTATAGTGCACTTATCATATTCAGTAGTGCTAGGTTTGAGGTGAACCTTTTCATCACTTCACATAGTTAACTTTGACACCTTGTATTTATCTTGAATTAGATTTAGTAACTACATTGCTTATAATTACCTTACCATCTTCTAATCAATTTTTTTGTGCATGTGTTGGAGTATTATATGCATGATGTTTTGATGATGACAAATAAATTTTATAAGATTGAACTATGTGTAGTTCAAAATATTCATAATATTACAAATGCTCAAGTATAATCAGGAATATTCAAAATAATAACTCATATGAGAGATCATTGAACATACTCTTGATTAGTATTATTTTATACATAAATATGATAGTCATCATATTACATATTTTTGTAAAATATGTCAATATTTACATAATATATGCCATAATATGAAGGTAATGATAACCATATTAGAATCAATGAGATAATAAGACATGAAATATGATTATGACAATAAGAAGTAAAATATGGATATGAAAGCCTACTCATCTATTGTGTTCTCATGATATCAAATCAACACTTTTGAGTGCATTTGATATCATTTTAATAAATTAAGTTTAGATCACTTCTTCAAATGAACATATATCTTTTAAATAGTTAAGAATATATTTCACAAATCCTTTTAGATATCTTAGATCACCCAAATTATAATCATGGATATTGAGATCACGATTCAAGATGTCAACTTGATGATTATATTTTATTTGAGATGGTTCAAATATGATTTGAGTGTTAAAATTATCATCTTATATAGATATCTACTATTAGCATCATTTTAATGATATTGGATCTTTACTAGTTCTACCCTCATGATATAAAATCCATAATTGGTCAATGTGAACTGACACAATTTAAATACGAATGTTGAGTAATAAGTGAATCACATATTGATTCCTCTTGAGGACATCTGAACTAAGTTAAGTACATGTAGTGTTATTTCTCACCTATTGAATTTATATTATTTTAGAGAAAATGTAATTAAAAAATTCAAAGATCTGAGTAGATTTTCATATGAGATTTATCTATAAATATTATTATCTTCTAACAAAAATATAAGACAATTTTTATCTTTCTCACTTGAATCATCTCTAACTTACCATTCAGTATTTTTCGTAGGAAAATCGGCAAAGAATAGTGAGGTTCATGTTAGTTATTCAAATGATGTAAATGCATCAATATGAGGACTGCAGTATCATTGAATAATCTTCCTCAATTTAGTTGAAGCTTAAAGAGCCTTCACTACACAACCATTATTCCAACAAAAGGAGGACAACAACTGCACAATAGTATACAACATTCTTTTTGTTACAGATCTGAAAATATTGAAGTTTGCATGATCTTTGAAAAACTACCTAAGGTGATATATATTGTGGGAAATAAACTCATGATTCAATCAGTCGTAGGGATATGTCTCGTTTAACAATTTTGGGCATCATGGAGCATGTTAATCAACATATTGTGATATAATGATCAATTCTAATGAAATTGAAGAGCAAGGTTGGTTTTGAAGAGTAGATATAAGCAGTGAACCAAACCACTATAAAAATTAGTGAGTCTTATATAATTGTTAAGTAAGTCCTACAAAAATCAAGAAAGAAAATAACTTACACACATTTAAAGTAAGTTTCATGTAAAGAGTTTTAAGAGAACAAACCAATACAACCCCCCTTTCTTGATTGTTGTGCAAGTCAAAACCCAATAATATGGAGATAGATTTTCATGATATTTATCATGATGATTAAAACTACTATTCATTCATCTATATCAACAATATTATTACATCAAGGAATAAGAGATATAAATTTAATCATAATGATGGATAATGCCTTCATAGACTATTGATGCACTAACATTTTAACACTTTTAAGTGCCATCAAATGTCTAAAATATCAAAAACTTACACACTAAAGTAGTAGTGGCCAACAAAAACTATCATGATGATTTTTCAAAGAATCATAATAACAATTAAAAATATTGCCCAATAAAAATTAAATAATACTCAAGACAATAGTAGTGGTGCAACATAGTTAGCCACCCACTATGATTTGTGATAAGTCTTCATTATCATGAGTTAATAATTACTAAATAATATAGTTTTAGTCTTAACTTATGATAAATAGACTTATATTTGTGTTAAAGTGTGAAAAATAGTTTTCAATTGATTAATATAAATTTTTGAGTAATTATGTAATTTTATACGAATTTATATGATTTTTATAGGCTTACTTTTGAGATAAATGAAGAAAAAGAAATAAAAATAAAAATAAGACAAAATGGGGGGGACCCACTGGCTAGCTGGGGTTGCAAGCGGGTTGGAAGTGCAGTCAGGGAGTAGCTGCGAGCAGGGGCTCAAGCAGCTTGGACTGATAGGGGCACATGTGCGCCACCCCCCTTCCACGTCACTAGTGCCCAATCGGCTGTGGGGCAAGTAGTGGTCGTACACACATGGGAAAGGGACTTGCTTGTAAATGTAATATTGCTATATATTCGCCCGAAAATTCAGCGCACAAGTGATGTGGGACTAAACTCGCACTTTTCCCAGAAAGGGCGGGCAATCGGCGCGAGTTCGAAGCCTCTTAGAGCCAAAACTCATTTTTTTTTATCTAATTATCGTGACTTTCTTGTAGATCGCTGGTGAAGGATTAAGCAACAAGAATTGTTGGATCATCGGCGAAAATCTTGTCAATGCGATTCGTGGCGTATTCTTACTAAAATTATTGAACGATTCACGATAAAAGGATTGCGAATCCATCGAGTAAAGTATCTTCGATTGATCGATAAATAAGTCATCGTCGAGAAGATGACGATCTACTGAGAGACAAGTCGTCACCTCCTAAGAGCATATCGGATGTGATGAAGAGCCTCCTCTTGCTGTGCGGACCTGAGGATGAAGCTCCCTGACACGTGTCCCACCTCCATCTAGCTCCTCTCCATCGGGTGACAACCGTCAGAGAGCCGCAAAGTCACCGTTTTTCTGCTCTGCTGAGTGACAGCCACTGGAGACGATTCAATGACCCATTTTATTGATCTCTAGACTTTCCAAGGAGATCTAGAGATTGCCCATGTCGTCCTTGTCCAAAAAGAGCCTTCGAGGCCGTGGACACTGCACGATGATCCTCCCGAACACTTAGGATTCCGGTGCATTGCCGACGCATCGCCACCATGATGTCGGAACTCTATTTTCTTGCTTTCAACTTACTTTCCACTTCATTTAGTGATAATTTGTGTGATTTAAATTTACCAAGATATACTTCATTCAATTACGATTTTTCAGGCTTTAATAGATCTTAATTTGATTAATTAAATCGTCTATAATCGGTTACGTAAGAATCACCGAGCGGAACTCTGTTTTCACCTGATTTGCGTTTGCCAGGCGCTGACATCATCTTGACGTCCGCACCCTTATTTTCCTTTTTTTATGAATTTTAAATATATTTTCTTTTCATTTCTTAGTATATAATTCATAGAAAATAGTATTCTTTGAGGAAAATTTTAAATAATTACCAGATATTATATTACATCCTTGTGATCGACCTGAAATATTACCGCTATTTTTAGAAGTTTTATTGAATTATACTTGATATATTTGTTCAGAAATACTTTTAAATATCCAAAAATTCGTATTTTCTAGTTTTATAAATTTTAAATTTGTGTGATTTACTATACAACGATTAAGTCACATCAATATGTTACTTATATAAATTTTGACCGATAAAAAAACTATCTAGTTCACTTAGATAAAAGATCTATCAATGTAATTGTGACACATCAGTTATTAAAAAGTTATAATATATTCATTTTAAGCCTCATTCAATTGTTGAGCACATTCTAACTATACATGGAAACCAATAAGTCTACCAAATACAAATTAAGGGACATCAAAATCAACATTAATGATCTACTTATTCTGGTGTTGATTGATAGTGTTATGATTCACAACTTCTATAAGAGGAAGGCATCTCAATTATATGTGATTTTGTTAGGAAAAGGATGATCATCAACTAAATGAGATGTTCCTTCACTAAACCATGTGTGGTGCCCTACCAATGATTAGAATGTGAGGTGTGTTATGTTTCATGAAAACACATGTAAGTCTTTGAATTAAAATTTTAGTATGAATTTCCTTGTGCATTCATAAGTAGCAAAACTTCCCAACTATATGGTCTCCTTCTAATTGGAGAACAAAGTTATTTTTTCAGGGATATGAGATGTCAAATAAGATTTGCAATCAACCTTGTAGTTTTGATATAATTTGTGAAAGTGGGACAAGAAAAGTTTCCTTGTTACTCTCTAATTATCAAAAAATGCTCATTACTGAGATGAGTGTACAAACATGCTTGGTGTTTGCTCACAAAAAATGTGTGGTGTGCTCAATGCCTATTAATACCATGAGGGTGACCAAGAGTACAATGAGTGCATAAATACAAGCACTCAACATAAATGGCACAAGGTGATGACATGTCAAATAATAAATGTTGGTGCACAATGACAAGATGTTGTTAAAGTTATCAATGTATTTGTTATTTCTTACATCATATTGAACGTG